CACAAACTGTCCAGAATTATTCAGAATTATGAGATTTATTGACTTGTGAAGAAAAATAATAACAAAGAGCAAGAGGACGTTGGTTTTAATTTTCGCGGGTACCAAAATAGTGGCAAATACCAAAATAGTGGCTTAACAATCGTTCCTCTGCAGGCGCGGTTTCCGAGTCGTTTTTCGAGATTGAAGACAGCAATGTTGTTGGAGCTAATCTTTCAACAATTGTGCACATTACTTGCCGTCTTCCAAAGATTGTACCGTTGGCCTTATCATTTTACTAGTTAACATATCAAATAGAAATATTTATTCACTGCCTCGTGAATATGCCATTTTGAAGACATCTTTTTTGAATGTCTTTAATCTCAGACTCAGCTGAGATGGCTTCGGTGTACTTGAATTGACGTTGTCGTACGGATATGATAACACATAATGACATAAGTAGGCTATCGGATTGGAAATTTGCAAAACATCCGAGAAACAGTACTAGTTAGATGAATATGAACGCAATCAGAGTAAAGTACACGACCTATTAACCACTTGAATGCCAAACAGTTTTCCCGCCCAAAATTCAGTACAGATATTTTCACATTTCGTAAAATTGTCACTAAATGTCATCATTATTTTGAACTATACAGACAATTTCAGTTATTGGTTTTCGTTTTTGATCAAAGATTGTCAATGTTTATCAACTTTTCATGTCGGGAAGACTATAGAAAATCATGTCACGGTTCTATACGGTCCCAAAGAATTTACAATGGCGCCGAGAGGGGTAAGATAAAATAATATTTAAACAATATTTTGTTTCAAAAGTTCTACTTAATTATACTAGATTTGGATATATGATAGTCTTTTTTATGTAAATACATTATTTCGTGTGAAATAAACAGTATTTTCCATTATCTACTAAAAATTCATGATAATCAGAATTACCCATATTATCCTAAACTATTATTTCACTATATGTCACCGAACGATATTTTCGGATATGACAAATCTTTTCCCCACCGGAACCTATGTTAAATTACTCTAACCACAAAATATTAATGAAAAATATGACCAATTGGGATTTGTAAGAAAAAACTTGTAATACCTAAATTCTTGCAAAATTAATGTAATGTCAATTTAGGGAACTATATCGTATTAGGCCACACACAAAATGTTTTGTTGCCCTCAGCGACCGACCGAAAAATATGAAATATGGGGTCGCGGTTTTTTTAAAGGCCCGAATATTAAAAAACTCACTATTTTAAGCAGTAAAAAAGTGTTTCCTCTAAAAATTAACGATCCCCGGCCGGACCGTTGTTTTATCCCCAGGGTTCCTGGAGCGATAAGCGACTTTGAACCTTCGGTTGATCTGTATTTCTCTGACATGTTCCGAATACTATGAAGTCTTAAGAGCAAACACGTCTTTTGCATTTCAGGCCATTTTGACATTTGCGATTCGACGGATAGTTGGTGCACAATATTAAAAATATCGCCGCACCAAGTATTTTCTTAAGTAAATAAAAACAATATTTTGAATCAAAAACAATACGTTTGTTGTAGTAAATATAATTTTTAATACATGAAATGCACAACATTTTATTGAATTTACAAAACGTGACATATTATATTAAAACTCTCATCCGCTTACATCACAAACAAAAAGACGACTTTTGCACGTTGTTTTAGCGCTGTCAGTATGCTCACTTCCGGGTTTGTCATCGTGTATACGTACATATGTACAGCGATAGCGAACATGGCGAACATCTTGTATGCGTGACAGCAAAAGCTGGATCAACTATTGAATTTTAAATTAAGTTTTAAAAAAAAATCCGATCGATCGACCCAATTTTTCAATTTTCCATTTTGAGAGCATCATAAGTTTGTTTTTGTTGCCTTATGGAGGTATATCTGTTTATACTTCCATGATCGTATCATTTGTATCTTCAGAGCTGGGGACTACCATGACATATGTCACGTGACATGCCGAGTCACAGAATATTATGTCTAAACGTGTACTATTTTTTTCTGAGGTAAAAAAAAATCATCTCATGACAATTAGGTTTCCAAGAGCCTTTGCTAGTGGACTATTTCAGTGATCTTGCGTGGCATGGTAAACCGTGTGGCGTGATATGCAACTCCATTCGAAACCTTCATGGTTCGCAGAAAGGTCACATGACTCAATCGATCAGTGTCACATGACATCATAAAATGGCTGAATGTCTGACTGATTTGTTATTAGTGTAGGCACATTTATCCGAGAATTGTATTTCGGAGATATTTTAAAATATACTAGACTGTAATTTACATATTCTCTAGGATGTAGCCGATGACTTGCTGTAAAATTTTAAAACGCTAACTTCTTCCAAATCTCTCACGGCGACGACGTTTATCTTGTCTCAATCATCTTCGGTTCGGTATCTATTCACCTGGCTTTGTGCCCGCCTTTACGGAAGCCAAACAAAGCTAACTGCAAGTGACCTGCCAGTTGAATGTATTGTACATATATGTTATAACGAACGTGACTTTCTGGAAGACAATTTGTCCCTGCTTATTGGAAGCAGTGTTAAACGGTGAACCGGAATGAGTACTTACTATGAGCCCGTCAGTGACGATGTCGAGAAACCGTTATTTGGGGAACAGAGACCAAAGGTAAAACATATTATTACGTGTTGTACTATTTTCTATAAATATGATATGTTATGTTACGAGATTGATGTTAATTGTGATGTGTATGTCATATCAAGCCAGTTACTGGTATGAGTTGTGTTGCTTCATGCATGGTTTTAGCTCTGTGTACAGGTCTCTGGATGTAGAGAGCACTGCCTTGCATGTACCACGCTTAGTACTGTATTATACATGTACAATATATGAAATGATACCACATCTTGCCATACTTGTATTTAAGTAATATTTATTTAATCATATTCTTATTATAAAAAAAAGTACTGTACTAGTATTCACTTTTGTGTTATTTTATCCACGGTGTACAAAGGTCGTGACGGGTGGGGTGAGGCACGCTGATGAGGACAAAGCTATTGTTATTTTATACTCGCATGTGACATGTGTATATAATTGTTTAGTACAATTTGTAGAATGAAAAATATATTAGTATTACCAAATTAGTAGAATATATATTTTTTTGAATTACACTGTTATCTTAAGAACCATTCACTGAATATTAATGAAACTTGACACATAGATGCCCTGGGACAATGCGCAGACTTGGTTATTTTGTTGTTGAAATTTATGGATATTTAAATAATAAATATGTGCATATCAAGTTCCATTCATCACATTTCAATTAAACTTTGTACATAGATTGCTATGGTAATCTTTAGGCATGTTTAGTTAAAATGATGAAATCTGTAATTTTATTAGTATCATCCAACTTCAGGAGCCAATCAGTGATTGGCTTTACAGTTAATAGTTTGGGTTTCAAACATATTGGATGTTTTGTAGGTTCTTTGGATAATGAGGCATTCATATGCATGGGATTTTTTCATGCAGGAATGCCAAATTTTGTTGAATTTCATTGGTGGATGAATTAAAGTTACCCCAACAGTCAGCTTGGCTGCGACAGATTGGGATTTCTTCAATGTTTTGTAAGAATCAACAAGACATGAATGTCATAGTCACTTAATTATAAAATACTCATGTTAAAATAATACATGGAACATATGCAAACAATTGATTAATATGTACTCTATATGGGTACAACTCGTCATAAAGTGATTTCCCTTAATTAATCTGATAACTGAAAACTTTCATTGACCCAGGTCCAAGTGCAACCAAACTATGTTCCATGCATGCATTCATAAATCTGAGTAAACCTTGATGTATCTTTAATAACAGCTTGACTTCTTTGTTAATTCAGGTCATTGTATATTACCAGGACCTGGGTTTGTTTCATTATCACCACTATAATTCCCATCAAAATGTAGCCCTGACCACCCCTCTACATTTTCTACTGAGATTCGTAATGGTACTACCTATCTGTCACTGATTCAGATCAAGGTCATGACCAGGTCATGACATCACTAAAAACCCTAGCATTACTAGTTCAGTTGCTCTGTCTGCGCAGTAGGGAGAGGTAATTTTGGATGAAAATCTTGAAAAAGACTCACATAGGATTTTCAGATCTGGAAAAAAAAATTATGTGCATATTCGGCAGAGACTTGTTCATCAACCTGCCAAGTTTCAAAGATATCTGCTGCAGAATTGTTAGAGACGTCACAGACGAAAAATTTAAATAAGAATTTATAGTCCGCCAGTGACTAAAAAGACATGTTTCATAACTAGCAATGATTAGCAAAGATTCAAGATGGCCACCCTACATAGTAAATATTATAAATTTATTGCATTTATTTTATTTCTTGTACTCAAGTTGACTGGGTTTAATCCACATCAACACACCATCTTGATTGATGACTGTTAAAAGTGATGTCGCTGTTCAAAATTAATCTGGAAAATGTCAGTTTACACTTTGTCATGAGATTCCTTTATTTTAAATATTTTTAAAAACTTACTGTGCTATGGCTTTGACAAGTTATTTGAATGGCATGAAAATTTAGTAGATCTTAATTTGTATTTACTATGAGAGTAAAACATTTTATTTATTTTGCAGAAAAGACATTTTTGCTTTTTTTGTATGAAGTTATTTTCACTAATTTTTGATGAATTGAATAAAAGATATGGGAAAAAAAGTATTTTCACTGAATTTTATTTCCATTGATTCATCCATTCAGCAGAAATAAATTCCATGTGAAAATAAAGTACTTTACAGTATAAGACATGTGGAATGTACAAAGACTTATTCATTGTAACTCAGACAACCAAAAAACAGCCTGGCAACACAGCATTTTTTATTGAAGTAATGTGTGCCAAGTTTGTTAAGGTTATCAGTTTCCAAATCTAGTAAACGTTGCAGAGCAACAAGATTATCATTAAATCTCACAAAATAATGCAAGATTTATTCATATTCCAAGCATCTATCTCGATACAACGTGAGACATAGTTGTTAGTAAACCACACCATTGAGGTAATAAGTAATTCTTATTACCTCAATGACCACACCAAACTTCTAAAATGGCATTTACGGAAGAATTTAGCAAATCTGATAGTTACGAACAATGTGTATATCGCGTAACATAAAGTCGAACGGGACAAAAATAACACACCCCGTTTTTACCTCTAACTGGATTACGCTGATAAGCTGAGAGATATGTATGTGACACTAGCTATCCCATGTATTGGCACCCCTGAACACAAAAACTAAACTGTTCACACACAAAGTGGTATGATCACTTGAAACGCTGCGACATGCCATTCCTGAAAAAATGTTGGAAACCTTTGCAAAAATCTGCAACAGCGAGAAATATTGTTTCAAAGTTGCTCATTATATATTCAAAAATTATTTGAGGTATATACTAGGACATTCAGTTACTTACACAGCTGCAAAGGTCAAAATGTCCTGAACACAAGGCACAAGATTACATCCAACCTGCTGAAATAGAATTATTGGTATACAAAATAATTACTCCACATAACTTGTATTTAAGTATATAATTGAAAAATATATTGTATTTATTTGTAGAATTTCAGCAACAATTCTACTAATTTTCTCCAGCAATTATTATACTTAGAACTAGCCCTTTTACTAAACATAAAATGTATGGAGAGACATTAATAAACATATTAAATAATAAAAACGATCACATAATTAAAGACGTTTCAAAACACATTTATACTTGCTTTATGCTTAGGGAGCAAAAAATCAAACAATAACTTCAGTACCAGCTGCCTCAAACCCCCCCACAAAACACAGATTTACATTTATTTACATTATATTACAATTATTCATTTATCTCTTATTCTGAGATATGTATTTATTTCATTAATTTACAGTATTTTTAGTATTTCCTTTGATTTTCATTTTTTTTATTATTACATGTTTTTGACTTTATTGTATTTTATGTCAAGATCTCAAATGGGATACGATAGCAATAAAGAATTACTTACTTACTTACTTACATTTTTGTTTTATAGGAACGTGTTATAAACCTTGTGGTTGGTGCTGTAACAGCGACATTAGTTGGGGTAAGTCTGTACTACTGCAGTTTTCAACTGTTAGCAGTACTTATGGAAAACACAAGTAGAACTAAAAATAATATCTTATTATGTCTAACATATTCTCTGTTTCCGTTACAGATTACATTGGTCAGTGCTTTTGTATTTCCTGGCTGGCCGCCCCATGGAATGAGTGTGTATTTTGCTATATGTATAGTACTTATATGCGCATCTAATTTGGTTATGGTATGTATATCTTGCAATGGTCTTTTGAAATGAGCAACCCTTTCATGAATGGCATAAAGCATTGTCTAACATTTAATGCAGAAGTGACACCAATCTGATAACAAATCAATCATAATGGTAGAGGCTTTGATAAAATGTACCGTAATATTTATTCATTAAAGCCAAAAAATGATCTGTTTTTTGCGATCCTTGATTCAAAAGGCACTGTTCACAGATAGATGCCTAAATACTGTAAAATAAAAAAAAAACAGGTCTATAAACAAATCAGTATACACTTCATCATATAATACAAATTGTTCTATTGTATTACAGATTTACTGGTATCGCCAAGGAGATGTGGATCCTAAATTTAGAACTTTAATATTTTACAATGCATTTACAATAGTTCTTATATGTGTGTGTGCTAATCTTTATTTTCATGGTGTCAAATAACTGGATATATGGATCCTCAGAACAAACATTATTATATGTATACATAGTATTGAATTTGCCAGGATGAGAGCATTCAGCTGTAATTATTGGCAGTAGAGGAATATATTTTATTGAAACTGGTGGCTTTATTATCAACAATAATTATGGGAATTAGTATTGTTTTTATGAATCACTCCTGTTTCTATCGAAAAATTATTAATATTTATCTGATAGTTATTCCACAAATAAGGTCACAGTTTTTTTGGACAGAGTTATTAGAATCATACTGTGATACGATGCATATTTACAGTGGAATAATTACGAGGATGAGAAACAATACTGATCACAGGAATTTCAAATCAAGTTTCTTAACTTCTCATCTTCACTGTGCTATACATATGAGAAGTTATATAACAAACTAACAATGGAATAATTTTGAGGCAAAAAAATACTCTCATTAAAATATTCACACAACAGCCATTGTTGTTGGATAACAAGGATACTAACATGAACAAAAAAACCATCATTTAGAACTTTTCACAAGTTTATATTATTTTCTAATGAATGCTTTGTGGCAAATGTACCACTTTAATACTTAAATCTTGTTTTTGAAATATATTTATTTTGTCTATATCTGGACATAACTATGGTAATGGAGATTATAGTTAGTACTACACCAGTTTTTAAAAAACTGCAGTGCATGTATTAGTTTTTTAGATGACCTGATACAGCAATTTCACTGCCATGTTTCTCTCCTACGAATTTTGGGGTTTTACCAGGTTGTTTCTAATTATTTAGTTTTGGATAGACAGAATTTGATATCACTTATTAGCTGTTTTTGATTCATAGAAATATTTTGCAAGATTTCCTTGTTTTTTGAAATTTGACATGTACGCATGTTATTGTATTTCACAACCACGTC